TCCTTTTCTTACCTCTTCGGCCCATTGGGTGTTCAGGAATATGATTTCATCAATATTTCCACATTATTTGTAAACTCTCCAGTTTTCCTTATGTTATTGATTTCTAGTTTTATCTGTTTGTGCTTGATATGGTTTCAAAATGTTTAAATTTCTTAAGATTTGTCTTGTGACTTAACATATGACCTATCCTAGAGAATGTGGAATGTTAAAGTATGTATATTCTGTTATGACTGGAGAAAATATACTGTATGTAAAAGTTCTGCACAGCAAAGAAAATAATCAAGAAAAGCCAACTTATAGAAATATTCACAAATAACTTATCTGTCAAAGATGAAATATCCAAAATATACAAGAAGCTCATACGTAATTCAATTGCATATATGTGTGTGTGTGTGTATATGTATGTGTGTATATGGATACACACAAACACACATCTATATATATATTTTAAACTGATAAAAAACTGCCATGGACATTGCTCCAAAAGGACAGACATAGAAATAGTTAGCTGCATATTAAAATGTGCTCAACATCATCATCATTAGGAAAATGTAAATCAAAACCACAATGAGCTATCACTTCACACTTGTTAAGATGACTATTATTAAAAAGTCAAACGATAGCAAGTATTGGTAAGGATGTGTAGAAACAGGAACATGTACATTCTTGGATAATACAAATGAATGTAGTCATCATGAAAACATTTTGAAGGTTCCTCAAAAAGTTAAAAGTAAAAATATTATATGATCCAGAAACCCTACATCGAGCTATATATGCAAAGGAAATAAGATCACTACCCTGGAGATACATGTATTTCCTTATTATTCACAACAGGGAAAAAAAAGCAGGTGTCTGTTATTAGACAAGTGGATTAATAATGTTTTCTATGTGAGTAGTAAAATACTATTTAACCTTAAAAGCGTGGCTGATTTCACTGCCAGATTTCAGGTTTGCATGGACTAAAAAATGTCAAACTCATGAAACCAGGGAAGGGTAGATATCCAGGTCTCTGCAGTGGGCTAAATAAGGTGATGCAGTCCAGAAAGCACAGACCCTCAGTCAGGGCGGAGGGGGTGAAAGGAGGGCAGAGGAATGGGGAAAATATACGAACCAAGACACAGCATGTAAAGGTACAAGATCCCAATGATAAATGGAACTGTATTGTTTGCGTTAAATGTACCAATCAACTTAACAGGAAAAAAAAAAAAGAGTAAACTCTGAAGGCATAATAATAATAATTTTTAATTTCAGAGAAAGTAAATTAAAGCAAAATTATTTATGAATACTTTCTGTTTTTCAACCTAAACAAAAAGATCATGTAAATTTATCATTGTGTTTTGAGTTTTAAACACATACTTTTTAAAACACTCTAATCCTATAACTCTTTAATTTTGCCTTGACCTAACTTTGGATAATATTTCCTTTTACGGAAAAATCCATTTTGAAAATATCTTACGTCCTAAATTCCCCAAATAAACCTCAGAATTATTCTGTAGGAAGCAGCTATGAAATGAGAAATAAAAATTTCTAGAAATGTTCATTTTTTCTAAAAAAAAAAAAAAACTACTTTGACCATGCTAATTAACATCAGCATCAGCCCACGCACATAATGAAAAGAGAAGTAGGTAATGACAAATAGGAATATTCATAAAGGTGAAGAATTCAGCTCCCTACCCTCACTGTACTTCACCTGGTCAACTGAACTACTGTGCTACTATTCAAGTCGCTGCTAAGTGTGGGATGACTGTTAAAAATAAGCTTTGTGGTTAGAATAATATTTTTGTAGGTTCACTTCTCTCAAAGTCTTGGTCTTCTTTTTTCCCCTAAGAGAGTCAGAACTTAACATCTACAGAATTAAAAAAAAAGAAAAGAAAAAGAATATGACTACATTTGAAATGTTTTTAAAAAAATAACTGGCAAAGTTTGAGAGCTGGTGTTCAAGACAGTATGGTTTTTCCCTAATAAGAAGAGAAACTGAATTTTAAAACCCACAAGTGTTTTTATATGTTCTATCATCTGCAAGCTTTTATGCCAAATACAGTGAGGAAGAAAAGCTGAGTGATAAAATCCTCAGTTCTTATCGACCTGTCTCGAACAGAAAATCTACTGTCCAAACAGAAAAATACAGGGTCTCTTCCATTCTTCTGTACACCCTTAATGTATCCTAGGGCTTCTACTTCCTCAAACAGAAGAACTCATCCTGGAAAAGGAGACGAAATACACATTTTCAGGTACGTGTTGCCATAAGTGAATGCTTGTTTAATGTCAAAACACAAAATTCCTAAAATTAGGCATTTAGTATTATTCCTTACCATAGTTTTATTTATTTTATTATGACTTTTTCCCTGCAAAACACTAAGCAAAAGTCCCGGAAGCGGGGCCATGTTTACTCTGTGGGTTTTCATGGGTGCCCAGGCCAATGTGAAAGGAACAAACCAGTTATTTCCGTTTTGTTGTTGTCTCCCGACAGGCGCATGCGCCACTTTCCACATTCCTCCTGCCCACAGAGCTTTCTTGGGCCATCTTCTCCTACAGCACCCAGGGCGGCAGCTTTCAGAAGGCTACAAAATGAGTCACAGGCTTTGAATATTGGAATAATCAGATATTTACAGGGACATTTCTTTTAGTAAAGCAAAAAAGGTCTGATGTGTAGGTCATTTTACTTATTGATTATTTTTATTTTTTGGTACCAGGGATCGTACTTGGGTCCTTGCGCTTGCAAGGCAGGCGGCAGAACCACCTAGCTAAATCCCTGGCCCTAGGTCATTGCATTTTGATTTCTAATTCAGTTAATAGTGGTGAATTCAAGCAAATTTTTAAAATAGTTTATTTCCCGGCATGGAACATTACTGTACTAAAATTATAATTTGACATCAGCATTTGCTAAAGAAATGACAAAAAATTCTTGCAGTTTTATTTTTTAATTGATACATAATAATTGCATGCTTTGACGGCATATAGGGTGGCGTTTCCATACATGTGAACCAAACCATAAAATTTAGCATACATTTCAAGCATTGATCATTTGTTTAGGTGAGAACATTCAGAACATTCTCTTCTAGTTATTCTGAAATACACACTATACTACTGCTAACTGCAGTCACCCTGCTGTGCCATAGAATATGAAAATGTATCCTCTTATCTGGCTGTAATTTTGTACTCACTGACCGACTCTTCAGCATCAGCCCTCACCTCCTCCCCTCCGCAGCCTTTTGCAATCATTTTTAAGCCAAAGTTCATTTTGGGGTCTAAAATATGAGTGCGCACACACACTGAGAAGGGTATGGAAAAATACTTTGACTTGTTCCCCTTATCTGTTCTATTGTTCTGCTGTTTTGTAAGACATGTGTATTATGTTCATAATATTTTAAAAAGAAAAACGGCAGAACTTGGAATTTTCCCCTCTAAGCAATATAAATGTTTGGTTGTTTTTTTTTGTTTTGTTCCTTTTTTGAGACAGAGTCTCACTCCATACTTCAGGCTGATCTTGAACTCACTATGTAGCCCTAGCTGGCCTCAAACTCATGACGGTTTTCTTACCTCAGCCTCCCGAGTGCTACCATTACAGGCGTGTGCCACTAAGCTCAGCAAATTTGTTTTCGTGTAACACTTTTTAAAAGTATATCAATCTGGACATAGGATTTAGCTCAGCGGTGCTGCTGCCTGCCTTGCAAGCACAAGGTCTGAGTTTGATCCCCAGTACAAAAAAAAAAAAAAAAAAAAAAAAAGTTTATCAATCTAAAATTTAGATAAAATGCTTACAAATATAAGCTGCACTCAACAGATCAAAATACTAGATCCATTTCATTGTCCCAGATGAGTAACTTGAAGTTGTTTACCTAGGTGATTTGTATGACCATCTGCACACATAGCTGGCAATTCTATTTAAGCCAATGAGGAGTTCTTTTCTGATTCCTTGCACGAGCAGACTCAAAAGACCAATCTTCATCCCACTCCACCAGCATGAGCTCAGTGTATGCAGAAGGGGAGGGGCCCTGGGCTGAAGGCGCCCTCTCTTTTCAAATGAACTTCCGATGGTCCTTTTCCAAGCAGTTCAATCAGAGCTGCTGTGGACTGACCACCAAAGCCCAGGGAACTGACGGTTCAGTGGGCATCGCTTCCCAAGTGGGCACACTAAATTTGACAAGAAGCGCTGAAAGGCACTGTTAGGAAGTAGCATGGAAAGTGACAGCGTTACTACAACGCCACTTTACTTCAGGGCTCCATACTTCTGTTTCCCCGCTGGGCGCAACTTGCATTTATATGATGGGGGAGATTCCCAGTTAATGCCTTCAAACTGCTTAACCATGTTCAGAAGTTAATCCTGTGAATCTTCAGTGTCCATCATTGTAATATTCTGTGTGTGTGACCTGTATCTCCTTAGTACTCTCTACGTGTGACATAGTATAATAGACAATTTAAGGGTTCAAAAATTTTGAAAAACATCTATTTTCTAGAGCTCTTAATTAAAACAGGTCCCTATCTGAAAGGCATTTGGAGTACCTTACTGTACATTTTATTAAAATATGTGTATACATATTATGTACAAAGCACTTTTAAAGGGTAAAAAGATTCTTAAGAATCAGAACTAATTTATTATATTACCAAAATATATACAAACATGTCACTTAGTGTGAAATCTTCATCCATCTACCCTGCATGGCAATTTAATTTTACTTCCATATATTTAGCTTACAAATTTCATATCAACATGACGGACCTTTAAAACTTGAATTCACTCCGATTTTAGTATTAATTCATGTGAAAATTGTTTTGGAGTTCGTGAAGGGTATCCCCTAAAATAGCGCAATTCTTTTGACTTCAGTGTGAATACACGACTTCCGTTCGATGAACCAGGGCCCCCCGTAGTTGCGCCTGTGTGAACTACTGCAAAACCTCTCTCGTCATGTGCACTGACAATACTCAAGTCTTTCTCTGGTGCCAGCAAAACAATTGCTTTGTTCCGTAATAGTCTGAGTCTCTCTGTTCCCGTCAGCTCCTGCTTAATGAAGAGCTCTAGATGGCTTCAACGGAAAAGTAATACAGGCACAAATACGGACACTGGTAAAGTAACACGGGATTCAACTATAACGGCATCATTCAGATAACCACTGTTCGTGTGACAATATGTATTACCTCATTATTATAAGAAGTCAGAATAATATTGAAAATTTTTAGACCATAAAAATACTTAACTCCTGGAGGCTGAAGAAAGTCTCCACATCTCAAAGGAGACTCTCTACTGGAAGAAGTGTAAACATGAGTTAATTAGAGCTAATCTCATGGAAATCTGTTAATAGTCAAATTATATCATAGATACAAAAACATTAGCTGTAAACTCTATGTCCCAAATTGATAATCAAATAAAAGCTACTCTAAAACATTAAAATCAAAATGTGCACCCTTTCCCTGATCTGCTGACATAAATTGCTCGGATCACAGGGATCTGCAATCAGATAGATCTCATGAAGAGGATTTAAACCCCACTAGGCATTATTTCATCTGCAAAATGGACTCAGGACATATATATATACACTGGGCTTTATAAAAGCTAAACAAGGGAACATAGGCCACGTTATACATGGTGTCGGGTACAATAAACATTCATGCTTTCTTTTATTCTGGCTCATCAAGACTATAAATTTGGTAATGTAATGTTAAAATAATAAGAATAAATGTCATTCAATATTGTTTCTCCACCTGAATTCATTCTGTGTTAAACAATATAAGGTACATTCAGTTTTATGAAGCATCCAAAGTTGAAAATTGTAATTTTGCAAATGTATACTAGAAATAACTAAAACAATTTAACAGCACTTTTACAGTGTTGATAAATGTTAACTCTGGTAATCTGCACATGCTAGAGAGATTTTATGTTAGGATTCATATTATGAGACTTTAAATGGGCTTCATTGTCTCACAAGCCTATCCCAGTTACTTAATGAGAGAAAAAGCATATAAAAGTCATAATCAAATTCCTGATATAAATCTATCTACGCTAAAGCTATTTATAAATGGAGAAAAGATATTAGTGTGGCCCTATTTCATATAGTTTAATTAAAAAAGCGAAGGTTTAACTAAGTCAGGTATCTATGTAGATGTGTACATATAATTATTATTTATGTATGTTAATATCTACATATGAATGTGTGTACATGCTGCACATATATGTATATGTGTGAATGTCATGGATCTGTATATCAAAATATTCTACACACACATTTACATAGCAAAGAATTTCGCAGTATTTTTCTGTAACAGTGAAATTTTAAAATCAGCACTTACTAAAAGAAGGATTTCAGTTTTACATAACTTTCCAAAGCATAAAATATTCTTTCATTTTTAAGAATATACACTGAATTACTAATGAGTGGATTTGTCCTCACTGTATTTTAAAGGTTAACATCATGTCTAAAGATTGTACTTTTAAAGAGAAAACTTGTTCTGAAATGTAATGAAATAATTTTGGTAATTATCTTTTCTGAAAAAAACTTAATTTCGTGTAAGTCATCACTACAAATGTTGAGAATGAGTTCATTTTTCAAGGATCAAAAGGAGACTCATCATTTCTTAAATAATTGGATGATTAGAAATTCATTTCACATCTGTATTAAACAAAGACTCAGTTTGCTTACAAAACAGCAAGATTCCTATTCGTAGTCCTTTAGATCAATGGAAAACAGGTTTAAAACTCTTACATTTTTTTCACAGATGCAATATGGTGCATGTAAGCAAAGGGAGTACATTCATCCCCTGTGCTGTCAGTGACTGAGGTAATCTAAACTGGAAAAGGGAATTTAGAAATCTCTAATCAATGCCAAGTCTTCAAAGAACTTTTAAAATAACACTAAATTTGATTAGCATAATAATTAATTAGAATCGAAAAAGTATTGAGGTCATACATGCTTTAATAATTCTATAACTCTGCAAACATAATGGTCCCTAGTGAATCTGAATAACTTCCACTATGATATGAAAATCAGAATTAAGAAATATTTGATCTTTATGTCTCACATCTTCAGGCTTTAAGTTATCTCATCTTGAGGCAACACTTAAAAAGAATTCCTAAATTAATTCATTTTGCAGGCTCTGTATGAAACATCTATGAGCAGCTTTATTTCAGCCCATCATTTTCAACCTCAGTGAAGATCATTCATGTTCCAAATGTAAATTTGGACTCACTAGAATGAAGTTCACAGCCTGCTATAAATCCAAAACATCATTCACATAGGATAAAATTTCACATAAGTCTTCATGTAGCAAACACCTGGGTTTCTGTTTTTTAATGTGAAATTTTACTTATATTATAACCTACTAATATAATGAAATCTAGAGTTAGACAAGCAAATAGCAGGCTTGGCTTTTGAGCCAATATGACGTTTTAATATTGTATAATTTGGACAGAAATATTGAAAAAATAAAAAGATAATTTCCTACTCAGATATTACAAAATTGAATCCTTGAAAGGTCACAGAAAAAATTCTTCAGGCAAGAGCATAAAACAGTGAATTTAGCTGGCTACATCTGTGGCTTTGTGTGCACCGTGCTGTCTCTCCTCTGTGATGCTTGTTTGCCATCCTGGCCTTCGAGCCAGCTGATTATAGATGAAAACCTCTATGAAAGGTAAGCCAAATAAACCCTGTTCCCTCCGAAAAACCAAAACCAAAACCAAAACCACCACCACCACCACAACAAATCCAGTGAATTTAGCCTTCTGTTCAGTGTTCCTTGAAGCTCGACAAGCTGACCGAAGTATAGCACCCCATCGCAAGGGAGGTGGTACAAAGAGAGAGCAAGTAAAAGGGAAAGAACTCCTAATAAACTCTCAATGTTTCTTCTACCAAAGAGCAAAGAAGACTTTGCGGACTTCCGAGCTAGCCCTTGAAGTATGCTATGAATGGGAAAGGAGATGGTTTCGGAATACGACGACAACCATGGCGCCATAAAAGTATCAGATGCCTGAAAGACGAGGCAGAGCCTGTGGCCAGAATCCCAGGTAGGGCAACGTGTGAGTGGGATTAGGTTATGAAGGTGGTAATTTAAGATCCCGTAGGCCATATACAGTTTAATTGTTCTTCTGGTGTCTCGCATTCACACTTCGACCTTGAGGAATTCCACGTTCTGTCAATCAAAGAAGCAAAACACGGAACACGGTCATTGTGTCACTCACCTTTCTATCACTGGGTCAGGATAAGTGACATAAACAACTTACGGAAAAAGAGTTTTGTTTTGGCTCATGGCCTCAGTCCAGTTAACTGGCTTCAAGAAAGAAACATCAGGGCTGACAGGCATGGCAGGGGAGTGTGTTCAACTCAAGGCAGCCAGGAATTAGAGAAAGGAAAAGAGGCAGGGACCAGAAGCAAGATATACTCCCCAAATCAAGACCTGAGAACCACTTCCTTCAGATAATGTCTTCAAATTATCATCTCGTCAAAGAACGAAGTTAGATCTGTCATCTTTCCATTGCCTTCTTAAAGACCCACTACTAAACATGAGAAAACATTGGGGGGCATTTTAGGCCTACACTGTAACAGTCATGTTCACACCCTTCCTTACAGCTAAGATGCAGAAATCTGATATATAATATCAAATCAAATATACCTGGTCCAGAAAGCTAGTGACACAGGGGAAAAAAAAAAGAAAAAGAAAGATGCTTCCCTACAAGTTGCTGACCACCGGGATAGCTGCCTTGGTGTCCAGTGGACATGAGGGTAGTGATTTCCAGGGTCATTGCCCAGTGCCTGTCATCTGTAGCACTACACCTTGTACCAGACAGGAACTGGAGAAAAACCCTTGGTCCATGCCTGGAAGACTACGTTCAACCTGATTCTTAGTCCATAACAACATTTTGTGAATGGCCAGGTCCTTTATGAATCCCCTTCTGTACATATTAGTCAATGCGACCCCTTTGATACTGAGGATCATGACTAGTATGCCATATAAAATTGTTGACCTTCATTTTATAGGACATATACAACCAAAAGTCAGTCAGAGGCAAATTGATTTCCTGGAAATTTGCATTTGATTTTGACGTATTATGTCTTTTTAATCCTCTAATGCATTTCAGAAAGTCTATCATATTTCCTCAAACTTTCACACAAGGAAAGTATTATTTAGTTAGTGGTTAAAAATATATATTATCTTATTATTAAGACTTAACAGCAGCTTCAAAAGCCTGACTAGGTACAAACCTACAGATTATTTTTTGCCAAAATTTGCCTTGTGATTCAACAAAGCAGAGGCTGCTCCAGCTCAGTTCCCAAATTTTCCCAGCAGAAACTCCTCTGCAGCAATCTGGACTGCTCTTGTGCACCATCTTTGCAGATGAACACCGTCCAAAGAACAGCCAGATATCTGTCTGCTACACACGCCAACACTTGACATGTGGAAGCTTCAACCTAGAGTTTGGAAGCTGTAAATGTTGTGTTGTAACACTCATTTAAAAGTGAAATATTTCCATGTGATTGACTCAACATTTGATACAATATAAATAAATCAAAAGATGGCGCCTATTGTATTTCTCAGTGAAAGGACTTTAGGTTGTCTTTTCCATCTAGTCTTCCTCCTTTGTCAAGCAATTCCATTTGTCCATAATTCCACTTATGTAGATATTTACCATTCTTGCCGTGGAAGAATGAACTCTGAAAATATAAGCTGTGCCAAATGAGCATCTGTCCAAATGACAGATTATGGGTAATCAAACTCTCCGTTGTGTGACAGATACACTGGCCACAAAAGTATATCTGTTCTTCCAGACTGGCAATGACAGTGAGCATTCTAAGGTTAGGGTATGCAGTGCGTCTGACTTAGGAACATGATAGGAAAACAGGCTGCCAAAATTAAACGATGTCTTTGATCTTACTTCATATTTCATATATGACTGCTTCACTACTAGGAGAAAAGATGATTAGGTAACCTCTTTTATGTTTGTGATCAAAAAGAAAGGTTATCTCAATTTGAAAGGGACTGCGCAAAAACAAAGTATGTAAGACATTTTTCATGAGCAATATGAATTTGAAAATGGTAATTTAAATTTTCTTACGTGAAAACAAAAACATGCATCCAATGGCATTATCTTTAGGGCAAATGTACGTCTCAGCAGAGTAATTAAAACAGCTCTTTTAGTAATTTGTTTCTCTTTTATAGTTTTTTTAATGTGAAGGTCTAATTTATATCATAAATAAGAATTTCTTTGTGAACTGTGAACTACTAAGTGGTCCTGATATAGCTATGTTTAATTATCAGTTCTATCTAGAACGAATATTGGGCTTCTTTCACACTCCAGTAAAATTGAGCCACCAATGCTGGTCTCCAAACAGACCTAGTTTCTTAAACTGTTATTCCTTCAGAATTTTCCAAAACTTGCTGCTTCAGTTATTTCCCTAAAGACTACTGTAATTGTTCAATTCACTGCCACATAATATCTGTTAGAGTACATGCAGGGCGTGGTGGTGCACGCCTGTAATCCCAGCACTTGGGAGGCTGAGGCAGAAGGATCACTGTGAGTTCGAGACCAGCCTGGGCTACATAGTGAGTTCCAGGTCAGTCTCAACTACATAGTGAGACCTTGTCTCGAAAAAAAAACAAACTCTGAAATAAATATCAGGTAGAGTATAGTGCATCAAATTCAAATGCATATACCTAACATCTATCAATAAGCATATTGTGCTTATCTTTTCATTTTTTCATGTAAGAAGAGCAGTAAATTGCTATAAATGCATCATCCACAATGATCTATATCTATATCTATAAATGTATTCATACCAATAACAAGGCAAGGTTTTGTCCTAATTAATTGCAATGTATAAATACAAATTAATTGAGAAAATTAATATGTATATCCTCTTTGTATCCCATTCTTTTACATAACCTTGTAGCATAACATTTCGTATTTCATATAATCAATTTATAGGATCATTTCTGATGGTTGCCTGTAATTCTGTCATATGGATGCATAGCAGCTTATTTAAACATTTCCCTCTCTCATTTAGGTTAACACATTTAATAAATATCATTGCACACAAACCTAAAATCATCTCAGTTTCCTTAGGATAAATGACTAAAAGTGAAATTGGTAGCTTAAGGGATAAATTACACACAAACAATACTGAAAACCTGAACTCAACACAAAATTTTAAGAGTACACATGCATATCAAAAATGCATTAACAGGGCTAGGGATTTAGCTCAGTGGTTCCACTGTGCAATGACCTGAGATCAATCGCCGGTACCAAAAAAAAAAAAGAAAGAAAGAAAATAAAATGTGTTAACAGCTGGTGCTTAAGAGTAAGAGTTTCAAAATAAATATTTTTAAAGCATTAAATTGTTAGTTATAACTTTATAAATAACTCTCCCAAGACATCGAGGGTTATATAAAAGAATTTAGATACAAATGATTTTAGGTTGATATAAATCACACTACATGGATATTTTTATTATCAACTGTTGTGGATAGTTAAGCACAACTATTATGCTCAAAATAATATCTCACTGAATTAAGAAGCTGTCAATGACTTTTAGTCATGCCTAATTATTCTACAGGTACATACAAGTAAATTTTACTTAACACCTCACTTCAGATTATTTAAAAGATGGCCTTATAATGGTGTAGGGAAAGTGGCTAGGGTAAGGGAAAGATAATAAGGGAAAAGAAAAAAATATGAGAAAATGAAAAAGTGGAAAAGAAGTGCTTGTAAATGGGGAGGGGAGGAGGGGTGAAGGGAGGGCAGGGACAAGGGGAAAAAATGAGAACCAAGACCTGTCATGTAAAGGTACAAGAGCGCAATAATGAATGTAACTGTACTGTATACCTAGAATGTACCAATAATCTCAATGAGAGGAAAAAATAATAAATAAATAAATAAATAAAGATGGCCTTAAAGGGCCAGGGATTTGGCTCAGTGATTCTGCTGCCTGCCTTGCAAGCACAAGGACCTGAGTTTGATCCCTGGTTAAAAAAAAAAAAAAAAAAAGATGGCCTTAAAAATAAATACATCAGGCAGATGCTTCTTTGTCCTAATCTATATTTCATTTTTTAAAAAAAATATTTAGTTTTAGAAATTTTTCTTGACATATTTTTAAATTGGATTTTCTCCATTATTAGCTGAATAATTACACATTTTCAAAGCAAGGCATATTAAAAACATGCATTGGTCATACTGACCAAACCTGACTGCTTGATGTTAATTTCAAAACACTCCTCCTCTGCCATTAAGGATTTTTTACAGAATCTCACTACAATGGGATGAACAGCCCTTGTTCCTCTGAGACCATCTCAGCTCCCAGAGTTGTGACCAGATTGCTGCTGAGCCTGCATTCAGCTCTAACCGTTTTTGACCGATCAGCTTCACCCCTCTCCAGACACAGGAAAGGCTACCATGAGGATCGATCTTGATATCCTACTATCTCTCTGTACACGTGTATCAACCCCTGCTTCTTAAAGCAATTTTTAAATATATTACCTCACGGAGCTATGATCATCTCGTGCAAAAGGCAGGGGATTTATTATTAGTTCTTGGTTGGGAAAGCAAGGTGATAAAGCAGTTAATGTCAGAAGGGACCTAAAAATCAGATCGCTTCATCTCTAGGCCAGTGGACATTGTATTACTCTTCCTAATATTTTCTGGTCCATTTGTGTAAAAGTAAACTTAACGGTTAAAATGTTACCAGCAAATTACTGCCTTGGAAACTAACGAGAGCCCAATAAATCTCCTTTAAAAGAAACACCTTTATGTGTAAATACCGAATAGTTTCCCTGGTGTGAATAATCTGCAACAATGCATAAGATTCTAATAAGATTACTGACATTTAGAAATGGGAAGAAAGGAGCTAAAGGTGTAAGGAAGGTGGGATGGGTAGGGGAAGAGTAAAAAGGGAAAAGAAAAAAATGTGAGAGAATGAAAAGATGAAAATAAAGTGTTTGTAGATGGGGAGGGGAGGAGGGGGTGAAGGGAGCGCAGAGGTAAGGGGAAAAAATGAGAATCAAGACTTG